AAAAGAGCTGAGCCAGGGGTTGGGTGCCCTGGGAAAGTCGCTGAACCTCCGGGGGTCTTGGCCTCTGCTTCTATAAAATAAAAGTATGTGTCCGGGAAGGAACACAGATGATTTGTCTTTTTCCGGATCTGGATCTGATTTTTACAACGGGTTCAAAGACGGGGATCTCAGGAACAATCAGGATAACGTCACCCATAATGTGGATATCAAATTACATATGTGCCTCTGCAGATAACTGAGCCTTCATAAGGTAGGGGAGGCCTCCTCACCTCAACCCCAGTCCATGCCAAATTCCTCTTTGGATATTTTCTTAGGCATTGTATGTTTAAGGCGGTCCCAGTTCCCAGGCCAAACAAAGCCTGCTCTGCCAGCATCTCTGCCAAGGACGTTTTCTTTCCACCAGTGCCACGGGGGATACTCTGTCCTAATGAGCACATCCTCATCCAGTAAGTGTGCAGAGAAACAGGACTTGGGACCCTGGCAGGTGCACAGGTTCAGGGACAGAAAAGATCTGAGTTTCAATTCATGTTAGTGGTTGTGTGACCTTGAGCAAGTGCTGGCCCTTTTTGAGCCTCAGCTATGGCATCTGTTAAATAAGGATAATAACAGGACCCTGCAGAGTTGTGAGGGCGAAGGGTGTCAAGTGCTGGACACAGAACAGTTGCCCTATCAACGACCGCCCTCCCTGAAACAGCACCCACCCTGCTTGCTCCCTTGTCTCCTGCTCCTCTAAGCTCTCCCTACAGACAGGAGTGTCAATTTTGTTTCTCCTTGTCTCTCTCACGTAACTGTGGGAGCCAGCAGGGCAGAGACTTGGCTCTGTTCACTACTGGCTCCTTGTCACCTGGTTCAGGTGCACAATGGATGGATAGATGCATAGATGGATGAATATGGGCAAAGAAGTGAGTGAATGATAGGAAAATTATATAACCAGCTTATTTGGTAGGTAGAAACATCAAGACCTAAAGAGCAAACAGACTCCAAATAATATAGAAAACCCTCACCAAAAAAAACAAAGCAGATTTTATAATGGTGCATACAGGATAATCCCCTTTCCATTCAATAGTCTGGAAGGGTGGACACCAAAATATTCACAGTGATCTGAGTGGTGGGTGATAGTGATTTTTATCACTTGCACTCTTGCTTTTTGGCTACTGATTTTTCTACTGAGGCTGGGTGTTACTTGTGTAATTACATTTTCTAAAAAGTACGGAAAGAACCCGAATGAGACAGAAAACCAAACCCGCGGCTGCTGCCCGGCACTCCTCTGGGTGTACCCCGCACACAGCCCTGAAAGGCTTGGGAAGGCCTGCCGCTGGGGATGGCGCTCAGCGGCGGCTGCCCGGCCCTGCCCTGCAAGTGCCCCCCGCAGCCCTCCCCAACCCTCAGCTGTCAGAGACTGTGTGAGGTCGGTTCACACTCGTGAAAACATCCTACCCTGCCCCTACAAGGAACGGTATCCGCCCTCAGTACAATTGGATGTGGTTTCAGTTTTATATCTTTATGGCAGTTTTCCCAAGTAAGGACAAAAAAAAAAAAAGATTTTTATCAGGGTACACTCTCCTATTTTCAGCTCAATGTGGCCACCGTGGTGACAGTTCTGGGGGTCTGTGCCTTAGAATGGAGGTCCTGTGAAGGTGGAGTCTGACCCCAAAGTGTCTTGCACACTGAGGGCACCATAATTTTTGCCACATTGAATCAGACTTCAAGAAGAATCTTTCTTCTTTGTATGAATATTGCTATTGTGTTTTCATATTACCTAATACCCTCATGGGGAAGAACCTGTCTCCCAGCTTATTAATCTGATATGACTGAGCAACAATCAATGTGATTTTTCTAAAATTTTTTTCTAAATTTCTTTATTTTAGAAAGAAAAGACATCAATTTGTTTTTCCACTTATTTATGCATTCATTGATTGATTCTTTTACGTGCCCTGACCAGCGATTGAATGGACAACTTCAGGGTACTGAGATGCTGCTCTAACCAACTGAGCTACCGGGCCAGGGCAAGCAATGCGTTTCTGTCCATTTCAGAACTAAACCCCACCACCTGTCCGTGGTCTGCTCAAAGCAAAGTGAGGGGAAATGTTCTACTTGCTTTACTGTTTGTCTCTTGGATATCTCATGCTGGGGAAAAAATGAATTATTGGGATTCTTTTTTCACCTGCCTGAAAGAGCACCCACCCTGCTTTGTTCAACATTACTAAAACATCATTTATCCTGGCCCCCAGGAAGTTTAGATTTGGTTTATTTTCCATGTAGCCTGTGGGAATGATTTGCAAACACTACAGGTGTCAGAGTAATGAGCAAGGAATGAAACCACTTTCAGAACCTGGTCTTGGGACATGGGATTTGACAGCAGTGGAGCCATGCCCGTGGCTGTGTTTGAATAGGGGGCCATCCACCCACCGCAAGGGGAGCTCTGCTCTGACTGTGCTCTAGGAAAAAAGCAGCTAATTCAAATATATGTATTTTTTACAAGCTGAAGAATCAATAACTTCTGGGTCCTTGGCCCTTCCTTGCTGCTGCAGATAAGTAATCTGGTGACAATGTGATTTTATGTTTTGCCATGTGCCTGGCTATGAAAGAGGGGTACCGGCGCTGCCTGAGGGGCTGAGGCCTCGAGCGCTCATTGCTGTGCATGGAGTACTGGAGACTGACAGAGGAGAGGTCGTAGGTAGGAGGTAGGATGCTGCTTCGCCTGCCAGGTGTGCCAGGAGAGACTGTCCCTTTGATCCCCTGCTGCACACGGGAAAGGCGGCTACTTTTGGAGGGCCCACCCTGGGAAGCACGAAGTGAAGGCCAGGAGGACACAGTCAAGTCCACTGTAAGCAGAGGCCACCCCGGTCTCAGCCCCAGCCGGACTCTCAGAGCACCCTGGGGACAAGTGCCCCCCACAACCCTCCCTTCCTTTGGGAGCAGCCCAAACCTCACGAACTTCAGTTCATTCACGCTATCCATCAGGTGCCCAACACTGTGCTTTCCCCTTTGTTGAGCAGTAGAACTCCTCACAGTTTCTGCACCAGCCACGCCAGCCTCTCAAATTCCCAGGGGTACTCCTTCCCTTGAGCCACAGGGTCCTTGCATAAGCTGTGCCCCCCAGCCTGGAGCTCTGTTCCCTTCAGACCTTGATCTCAGCTGAAACATCCCTTTCCGAGGCAAACTTCCCTGACCCCTGCCTCGATCCACCCCACACATCTATGTATCGATACAGCACCACGTGTCCCACGGCATGGCAGCTGTCACAGCTGCACCATGCTTGCTGATTAACCTCTCCCTCGGTTGTTTATGGCTATCTGCTATGAGCTCGGTATTTTCGTGCTTTCTTTGCTCATCCCCAGCTCATAGAGTAGGGCTCCATAAATATTTGTTGAATGCCTGAATGCCGGCTAACGCACAGAGCCAACAGTCTTAATCTCCCGCAGACAGTGAGAGTTTGTATAACCAAACGAGATATAACAGGACCTGTTAATGAGGGATCACCTGTGGGCTGTGCCGACCACTGCAGGTTCTGGCGGTGGCCTGGGTCTAACGCCATTTTGTAGGAAACAAAGGGCCGTTCAAGTGGCTCTGCATTTCACTCCTCACGGTGACGGTGACGGGTGAGAATGGTGATAAGAATGTGTGAGAGGCCAGGTGCCTGTGACAGTGGGGATGGTGACAGGAAAGAAAGGCCACGAGTTCCTCTTTAGCTGAAGTCAAAGGAGCCCTCCCGCCAAACCTGCTTGGCCGTGGTTAGATTTTATATTACCACCCTTACTACTAACGTTCCTGCACAGAAACAACTTTGTGAGTATGAAACCCCAGCACCACTTTCCCCGCTGACATTGTCTTTGATTACCTGAAGTTTCTTTGGGATGCAACCATCACAGAACAGACACTCTCAGGAGGGAAAATGCCAGAGACAGAGACGCAAATAGTCCTACCACCTAGAGCAAAGCTTACTTCATTCAACCTGTAGGGGCTGGTCACGGCAGGCATACCACCCCTCCTCCTTAGAGGAGTGTAAACTTGGTATGTTCAAGCCAACCAGCTCAAATCCTCGAACTGGGTGCCACAGCTCCATATGTTACCTGAGCACATCTTGCCACATCACCTTGGAGCTGGCTTTGGAGCCATCGCCCCCTCTCCACCCCCCACTCCCGCGACAACACATGCTCAGGTTGTCAAGGAGACCTGCGGTAAGCGAGACAGCATGCACCCAGGGCTAAAAGTCAGACTTTCAATGATAGAACCCATTCCCCTGGTCAGGCCGCAGAGATATAGAGGGCTCAGATGTCACAACAAATGAGAACACTTGAAGCTGGAAGTGAGAGATTACAACCCTGGTTTTAGGCAGTGGTGGAGGGAGGAGGTGGCATTCACTTGTCCTCCTTTGAAAGACAGTCAGGCTCCTTGCTTTGCAAAGGGCTAGAGGGTGGACTGTGGGGAGGCAGGCAAGAGTGGCTTTCTTTTAATAGCCTGTTTCCACGGTGCCTGACAACCCTTGGCAATCCACAGCTGGGGAGTCTTGGACAGCCAGGGACCTTATCTTACGTGGGCCACCCGCCAACACCCATCCTCCTGGCCTGTCTAGGCCCCAAGAGTGACAGAGGCCAAGGCTGGCAGCCAGGGCCCCTCCTCTTTCCTCTCCCTGGGGAAAGGAGGTGAGTGATGTAGCAGACAAAGGGCAGAGCAGAGACGGAACCACCCAAGAGCCAAGGTCTGCAGCTCTTACCCTCCCCATCCCTGTCCCTGCCCTTGGGGAAAGTTTTGTGAAGCATGAGTTCCCTGGGTTTCACTGAAGACCCAGCAGGGCTGTCTGCCCAGCAGACCCTTTAACTAGAAACACATTCTTTCCCTCCCCTCTCAGCCCGGACTGCACAGCCCAGATAACCAGATAAGGGCCTCTTTGATTTCGTGTTTACACAGGCTGTAGCCCCACATCTTGGGAAGGATCAACCACATCCAGGCAAGCTAGGACACCTCTAGGCGGGGTGAGGGGGGCACAGACGCCTTACCTGCTCCTGGGAGTTCATCACGCGCAACTTCATCTGCTTCAGATACGTGGAGGTGAGGGGCATGTTGTAATCAATAATCCCGGAGACCAGAGGAGAAGGAGGCTCATTTTCTGGCAGAAAGAACAAAAGGAACCCCTGTCAGTCTGTGCTATGGGCCACCAGCGGGGCAGCACACCCTGTCACCCACATGGAGAACTCAACAGAGCCTGTGAGGAGGAAAGAACAGGCCGGAGGTCACAAATGGGCAGTTGCCAACCATATCTGGCCCATAGATGTGAACTGCATGGCACTGAAAATATTTTTCAATTGGGTGCCAGCGTTTAATAGGGAGTTCACATTAAAAAAATGGAAGGTCTGGCCACATAGGGCCTGTAATCCCATGTGGCCAACGACCACTGCAGCTGTGCAGCAGCCACTTCTTTCAGACAGGGCGTGAGCTCAGTTTTGCCATAGTCCCCAACACTCCCTATTGTTCTGTACTCTTTTACTCAGTTCCGATACTGGCCAGGCCCTTGAAGGCATTTATGTTTCTAACCCTGATCTAAGGCAACTTTTTTCCTGGTGCACACATGCTGCAACACCTCACCAATCTCCTACAACCCACAGGATCCCCCAAAAGAATCGTCAGGTACCATACGGCTCACAGTTCTGGGTCCCCACCCCCAAAATTCTGGTTCCTCCTTAATCACATGGAACATTGTCCCTTGCAATTATTGCTTTGCTGTCCTAAAGATCAAAGTAACGGGTGTTCTTTTTGTAGAGCATTTGCAAAGCGCGGAAAGATGTACAGAAAAATTTAAAAAAACCACCACCCATAATTGCACTAAGCAGCTTGGCATATGCTTCTGTTTATTTTTTCCCTGTGATTTCTCTTCTTTATGTCCTTGATATCATAGTGCACACAAAAAATTGTAGTCTGCTTTAAAAAATGTTTTTGGCTTAACCTTTTTTCACAGGCATTTCCTTCATTATCAAAAATCTTGTTTTCCTTTAAAAAATATAATTTTTATAGCCATGTACTATTTTACCATAGTTTACTTAAGTCATTTCCTTATGAATGGCTATTTATGTTGTTTCCTATTGTTGGTAATTATAAACAACATTGCAAGGAACATATTTGTGTGTGGATATTGGTCCAAATTTCTGATCATTTCCTTTTTAGAACAGATTCCAAGGAATGGAATTCATGGGTTGAAGGGTAAGGATATTTGGTAACTCTTAGAATCTGTGGCCAAGCTGCCTTCTGCAAAGGACACTGCCCAGCCAATGGTTCTGCATCTCAAGTACCATTGCGGATGGCGTACAGGGCAGATGAAAATGGCACAAGAAGCAGTCAACGAAGACGGGGAGCACAGTTAAAAGAGAGCCTGTCACTTCTCCCCAGACCAACTCCCCTCCGAATGTCTCCTGTTATGACCACGCCTGAAACCCTAGAGCCTCCTGCAAGGACCTGTCTCATTTAGTCATTTAGTCACTTGACCCTGCTTCACCCTCTACCTGGGGAAAGTCTTGGTTATCTGTGTCTGGCAACCTCCCCTGCTTCCAGGGCTCCAGGCCTTTGAACCAAAGTTCTCCCTGGTGCGTAGTTCTGGTCATGAGCTGGGACTTGAGTGTGCGAGCAACTGCTGGACTGGCCGAAGCCTGCCTTCCACGGTCACCACCATGCTCAAGAGATAGGCTGAAGGAGGAGCAAGTGACAGGGCCAAGGTGATTTGCTACAACCTGCCGCTCAAGCGCTGGAGCCCAGGCCAGAAAGGCCCTTGCAATCTTGAAAACACTATGCTGAGTGAAAGGAGCCAGACACAAAAGGACAAGCACTGTGTGATTCCACTTAAATGGAAGACCTAGAATAGACACATTCACAGAGGAAGAAAGTAGAATAGAGTTGCTAGGAATGGGGATGGGAAGTTACTGCTTCATGGGTACACAGTTTCTGTCTGGAGTGAGGAAAAGGTTTTGGAAATAGTGGTGATGGTTGCTCAACGATGTGGATATATGAAGGCCACTGAATTGTATACTTAACATTGTTAAAATAGCAAGTTTAACATTATAAATATTTTGCCATAATAATGAAAAAAGTCCCCTGCAAACAAGAGGGAGAAAACTACCTGAAGTGGAGAAGGGAAGTTCCTACTTGGAGAGGATAGAAAGGGCTCTGCAGAAAGACCGGGGACTGGAGGTGCCGTTTTGAGGTGGTATGCATATTTCTGATCAAGTTTATAAAGATGCAGACCTTTGTTTAGCTTTTTTAAGCCATGTGGTCACACACAAAATTTTTGTGTTCTTTGAGGAAGACTTTTGCTCTTGAGGAAAAGGTAAATGTCACTAATATCGAATGTTGCAGAAACCTGCTCCAAATGGACCAAACTCTTTTTTTTTTTTTAATTTTTTTTTTTTAGAATTCCTCATTCCTCTTCCTTTGGTGGCAGAAGGGTTCTCTGACACACACGCACAGACAACCACTGCTGTGGGGAAACTAAAATGTGTTCCTGTGTCCTCATGGCCTCTTCTCCTGGCTGCCCCTCCGTCAGCCCAGACGTGACCTCCTAAAGCCCAGATACATGCTGGGACCTGGTCCCCCAAAATCAACGGGATTGGATGCAGTAGGTGAGGCAGACATTGCAGCAACGACACTGAGATGGTGCCACTCAGGAAAGCCACAGTTCCTGTTTTCAGACTGTGGGTCTAAAGACGGAGAATCCCGCCGTTTCCATTTCATTTCCTCAAAGATGGGGTTTCTGGTAGAAAGCTGTTAGACAATACGGTGTGTGGCTGTTATACACCCCCCTCACCTAAGGGTCCCTGGTCAGAGCCACAAATGAAGACGTCCCTGGTGCACAGCGACTCAGTGTTTGGTTGTCCACGAAAGCCGGGCACTGTGTTCTTTTACTGATGGTCCCCCACATCCTGACTGAAATGCCACAGCTGCTTATGAGAAAGTCTCTTAAATAAAACCAGGTGGAGGCTGGTTTAGAACCCCCAAAAAAAAAAAAAAAAAAAAGCCGAGATGGCACTCCTGGGAGGCAGGAGAAGGGGTCTTCCTTGGCCTGTCCCTTTTGCAGCATGTCCACAGATCAGAAACCGCTCCTGGAGCCCAGGGTGAGCGAGGGGGCTCAGGAAAGAAAGGCAGGAGCCCCTGTCTGGGAAAGCTGGGGCATCCTGAGGCACACACGTCCATCAGAGATGGGTGCGCAGCGGCACGCTCGCATCTGCAGTTCCAGGAGTGAGAGTTCTGTCAGGGAGGCAGGGCCTTGGCGGGCAGGGGACATTCCAGGTGAGGGAATGTGCCAGAGAGCTGGCTGCAGGAGGTCAGAACTCGGGCACAGCACAGCAAAGAGAAAGGCAGGCAGGTTTTCCCGGCGGTGGGGAGCCCCACGGCTCCGGAGGTGATAAATGCCGCACACAGAGAGGATCGGCTTAGTGGGAAAGAGAGAAGGAGCAGGGGCCACTGGGAGCCCCGTGGAGGGGTCAGGTGCTTGCAGGTGAGATAAATGCCAGGATGGGGGATGAGCTAGGATGGACATATGAACGCAGGAAAGTGGCTTCCTTGGGCTTTGCTGAGAGGCCAGGCACCTGCGGTGACTGACACATACAGCGTCCATGCTCGAGCCACCACAAATAGCCTGATACGACTGGTGAGTTAGGGGCTGGCGAGAGTCATGGAGCCAAAATAATCGAGCAGGCTGCTGGTGAGAGAGGCAGAGGAACCACCCAAAGAAATGTTTCAACGCCTCTTTGCCACGGAAAATTGAAACCAGCCCAAGCGCAAGACCTAGTTTTACAGACCTTGAAAATAATCAGTGACGCAGAGGGTTTACCCAGGCCAAGCCACACAGGCTGAGCTGAGTGCTGACCTCCACAGCTGGGCTCCAATGGCATTCATTACTCAAGGCACATTTCACCTGAAGTAGTGGCCTTTGTTCCTCCACATGGAACACAAGGTGGCAATTGTCACGAGCTTCACCTACAGAATGGAAGACCCCCTGGTTCTGCATGCCAGTGGCAAAAGCTGTCCCAGGCAGAGCTGGGTGTTGAAGGACGTGCGTGTGACGAAGGCCTGGCACAGAGGAGCCCTGAGACCAGCCAGCCTGTCCTGGGTCTCAGATTTGGACAAAGAGATCGAGGCCTAGGGCCAACTCTGAAGGTGATGAAAAAAGCCTTCAGGAGGGAAGTAAATCACTGGATCAGCAAGTCTTCAGGAAGTACTTATGTGTGTGCATTCAGGGTGGGGAAGGTTAGGGAACCCTGTGGGTGCAGTCCCTGTGCTCAGCAGGGTGGGACTGATAGCAAGTGCATTAGAGCTCAGAGGAGAAAGGAATCCAGGCAGCTCTGTGGACAGGGGTTCTGAACAGGACTTCTGTTCAATCACTCGGCTGACAGCTACGCCACACAGACCCTGCCGCTTCATCCTTCCAAGAAGTCCATGTGGTGGGTGCTAGTATTAATATCCCCTCTTACAGAAGAGTCAACAGCCTGTGGAAGGGTGATGCAACCTTACATGCCACCCAGAAAGTGAGGATGAGAGCCCGGAGAGGACAGGCCAGCAAGCAGGTCAGCATGGAGCCTCTGCAGGGGCAAAAGAACAGGCTGGAAGACAGGAATCTGGAGGAGCCAGGCATGAGGGGGTTGGAAGTCACACAGAAGAGTCTGGGCCTGGTTGCAAAGCAGCCCTGACCTGCGTGGACGACTCCTTTGTGGAGGAAGAAACCTTTCTATTAGGTAACTGGCACTGCCCACTGTTAAATCCTAGTTTGCAGCCATACAAACAATATTTTGTCACATCAGAGAAAACAGAAATGTGCCCCCAGAGGCCCCTCTCCCCAGGAGCCAGGGCTGGTCTGAAGACCCACCAGTTTTCTTTTTCTGTCTCCTCTCCCCCTGGACTTGCTTAGCGGCTGGTAGAAGAAGCACGTGGAGTCGAGAGGCCCTGGAATTTCCCATCCTCGGACTTCCTGATCCTCAGCAGCCTCCTTTGTTTGTGCTCCTGGCGCTAGGGGAGGGACTGGGACTGTCCAGGGCCCCACACTCTGCCGGGGACAAACTGCTGAGCAGGGGAGGCTGCTTTGCTTCCTTTCTTTCTTTCTAACACTCGGCCAGGAAGGGAGGCATTCTCCCAGAAGCCCCTCGAGAAGTCTCCATCCTGTTCCCTGTCCCCTTCGTGCCCCCCCTTCCTGGGACAGGAACACAGGGCCTGCCTCTGGGGCCAGATGCAGGCTCTGCTTTCCCTGTGGGTGGGCAGGGGTAGGAGAGGAGCAGCGGGGGCTGGCATGGCCGGGGTGCCTGTGAGAGAGGGGTAGGTGCGCTGACCGCATCCACAGAGGCAGCATGGCTGGAGAGGCGGGATCTCCAGGCTCTCGGCTGGGGCAGGAGAAGGGAGAATCTGCCAGCTGCTGAGGAGGGTCCAGGCAGCCAGTGCCTCTGCTGGCCATTAAGCAGACAAACAAGCCGTTCAGGTTCTAAGGCTCTCCGCTGGCAGCTGCCAGAAACCGAGCTCTTGCTTTTGCCCAGTGTCCAGGCCGTGGACCCCGAGTGCTCACGTGGGTAGGGTGACTGACTGTGTGTCTCCCCAAGGGCCGCCTGGACATTCCCAGCCTTGTGTCTGGGCTCTGTGTATAACCACACGAGGTACAGACTGATGTGCCCACTGCACCGAGGCACCCTGCAGAATGTGGCTGTTTAATCCAACTACGCCCTCACGACAGCCCCACGAAGAAAGTGTTATTCCCATTTTACTGATGAGAACATAAATTCTGTTGCCTGCTGGGGAACTTAAGAGACTGATTTCACCACCACACCTCTCTGTGCCTCATTTCCTCAGCTGTAAACCAGGACAGACACCTCAGAAGCTCACAGGAGCTGTTAGGAGCAGGTGATGTTCAGAGAGGTCCTCCAACCTGCTGAGGGACATATAGCAGGGAACAGGCGGCACACCCAGGCCTGCTTGACCTTCCATGGGCCACACCGTCTCCTGCTCCCTCAGAGTCTCGTCCTCTCCCTGCGTGGACAGCTTGGCTCCTGAGGACAAAGAAGTAGCATTCCACCCAAGGACAAGCGAGCACAGGCAAGCACAGCCTCACTCTGTCTGCCCTCTGTCCTGCCTGGAGCAAGACCCTGGAAAGAGCAGCTCCAGCCCAGAGCCCACAGAGCTGGTTTATATTCTAGGCGGCTCCTTCCAGGCTGTGCTCTCTCCCTCTCCACCTCCCTCCCTTCTTCCTCCTCCCTCCTTCTACCCTGGGGTGGTGGCAGCAAGGAGAAGAAACAGAAGAGAAACAGGCTGCTGCTGTGCTGGCATTGCCCTCCCAGCCATGCGGAAGCCCACAGATGAGGAAGAGTGGAACTGCAGCCCTGGGGACCTCGAGGCCTTCTCTGAGAGTGGGGGAGGTGAGCATTTGCTCCCTGCCAGTAGGGAGCGAGGGAACAGCAGAGATGGAGTCTGCAGACACCTGCCGAGGAGCACACAAACACGGTCCTTCTTGGCCTTGCCTCTGTTCTCGCAGGCGAACGAACTCTGTGTCTGAGTACCCCAGTTGCTTTGGAAATGATTAGGACAGAACAGGAGGGGCCAGGTGGATGGGTGGGCACCCCTGGCACCCAGACCCAGGCAGGGTGGAGAACGCAGCAGGGAAAGCCCTCCTGGCCCATCTGCAGGTGACAAATGCTGTCTTGGCCCAGGCTTGCAGCCGGTCAGCCAGGGCCAGGCCATGTGGGGTGGGGGCCTCACTCTAGCACCCAGCGTTACCACAATAGCTGCCACAGCCACAGGTGACCCCTCATGCGTGGCTGCCCTGTGCCAGGTCCAGGGACTATTATGCTTCATCAGCCCCTGAGGTAGCTACCATTATTAACCCCATTTCACAGGTGAGAAGACTGAGACTCAGAGAGATGAAGTCGCTTGTTCAGGACACACATCTATTGAGCTGCAGAGCTGGGATTTGAACTCATCCAGTGTGACCCTGGAGACCCTGCTCTTAAACCAGGAATCCAGCACTGAAGGGAGTAACTAGGTCTGTTGCTGTCCCTCAGGCTTCAGAAGCTCTCTGATGCACCTGATGGAGCGGCTGAGGCCGCGTGGCCCCCACGGGCAGGAAAGCCTCCGGGTCTGATGAGTCGGCGGGTGCCAGAGTTGCTCATGGGCATCAGGGACAACCAAAATGAGAGGAAACTCCATTCTTCTCCTGTGCTCCAGCTCCTCTGCGGTCACCTACTCAGGCTTCGGTGCTGATTTTCACCTCCCCAGGTTTGGAGGATGCCACCTGAGGAAAAGGCTCATCCTTCATTCTGAGTCTATTTCCATCCTGGGCAAAACACCCATGGACTTCAGCAACCTTTGCAGGCCTGATGCCCAGGAGCAGCCTACAAGCCCTGATAAATCGCCCACATGGGCATCATTTCTCAGGGCAGAGCTATATCACACCAGTCAAATGTATTGGCCCATCTCACTGTGCCAAAGCCACCTGCGAACAGATGGCCCGAGATTTACTGGAGGCCTCAGGGACGTTCAGCTTACAGATGTCGGGGGACTAAAGTGGGGGTCTTTACTGCATCTCACCGTGAAGAGCAGGGCTGGGGGGCATGGATGTCAATCCAAGGGACCAACTTTGGCTGGTCACAAGTGCTCTGGGGCATTTTAAATTCTAATCAACCCCCCTAGATTTCTGACTTGCGCACAGGGAGGGACAAACACTTAGGGAGGACCTATTACTGGCAGGTATGTGGCTACAGGGTAGGAGGGGTGCATGCTTCGAGGGCTGTGCTCCTGCCCTCCCGCCCTATGAGAGCTTACGTTAGGGTCAGCAAGACCAAACCCGTGGGGACACTGCTGAGGGCGAGGCCTGGGCGGCAAGAATTACAGAGCTGAGGGAATGGGGCAAGGTGGACATTTCTATCCAGAACCTTGGTGGGAGAAGAAAATGTGGCCTGGGCCTTGAAGTGTAGTAGGAATACACTGTTGGTTTCAAAACAAAACAAAACAAAACAAAATGAGGCTCTCTGGGCAGCCCCGTGGACCACACTGGCCTCTGGGAATTGGGACAGTTGGTGGACATGCACTTTTCTGCCTGTGCCTGCAAAGGGCAGGCCCTTCTGGTGGGAGAGCCTTCCCCTGCACAGCTTCCCCCCAGGAGCCTCCAGCACACGCACCTCCTCCCCTACCTTTGGGCTCCAGGCCGTTGGAATTAAAGTGCATCCTCTTCTGACACTCTGTGCAGCTCATCAGGAACCGGGTCACAGCCTCTCGCGGAAGGAAGGCGTAGGTCTCCGCAATCTGTGGGAGAGAGGGGGTTGCCTGTTTCACAGCTCCGTGGTGGGGGGCCGCTTAGTCCCCGGGTCACCAAGGGTTGTGCTTTGGTGGCAGGCCCTTGGCCTTTGTCAAGAAGGGCAGGGATTTGAGAAGCAAGGGACAGGTGTCCTCAATTCTTTAGAAAACCATTTGTTTTAAAATTTTGAATAAAGGAGCTTAAAAATTAAAAAAGCAAAGCATTTAAACCATTACCTAGTCTTTAACCTATATTCTAATAAGTAATATGCCTCTCAGGACACTTTATTGCTGTTACTGAAAAATGAGCTTATAAACATTGCTCTAGGGAAGGATGAAACTATTTTCCCTCCTAGAGGTGGATAAACTGAGACCCACTTATATATATCCACAGGCGCTGGGTCTGGAAACAGAACCAAAGGTTCTGTGAACTATTTCCTGCAATAATTCACAGATCAAGGACCTCTTTAGGGAGAGCTGTGAAAGGCTGATGCTAAGAGACCAGATTTTTCCACCTGGACAGGCTCTTAGGACCCCCATGTTTCAGGATAGGTCACAAGGCCCAGAGAGGCGAACCCACTGACCCAAGGTCACACAGCTCTTTAGGGGCAGTGCCAGACTAAAGTCCCTGTTCCAGGTCACACCACTCCATACCTTCTCCCCTAGCGAGGGAGAAGAGAAAGGGGGCATGGGAGGGAACACAGGAAAGAGGCTGGGTGAGGGAGAGGGAAAGTGAGGGAGTGGGTCCTGAAGCCCAGCCTTTTCCTCTTGCTATGGGTTTTGAGAAACACATTGGCCCTGGTTTGGCTGCCTGAGAGGCCCAGAGGGACTCCTTAGGCCCAGGATCCCCGGCTAAGGCCAGTAGCTGCCCAGCTGCTGGTTTTTGTCCGTTTCCCAGAGCCGGGCCCTCCCACTCATCTCCACTAAGGGGCAGCATCACCCCAGCATTCCACGGTCCTCGCCGCAGCCCAGCAGGGAAAGTTGGCCCAGCGGCTCCTTAGGGATGCACAAGCGCCTGGCTCCGTCTCTGTGCTGGCCCGGGGACCCGTATGGTGGAGCGGGCGGGCTTGGCGCTGGGGAAGGAGGAGGCTTGGGGCACAGGCTGCGGCCAGGCCCTCAGAGGAACAGCTCAGGCTGCTCTCCCCGCTCAACAACGGGCCTGTGGCGCTCCAGGGGCCACCCCTGCCTGGCTGTCGCTGCAATGGCAGTTAATTTTGGTGACACAGTTGTTACCTCTCAGCTGATTTGATGCTCTGTGGAGCAGGCAGGCTCCTAGATGAGTTATCTCCCTTCCAAATTCCCTGCCTTTTTTTGGAGGTCAAGGACAAGGGCAATACCCTGGTCTCTGATTAGAACTGGTGGGTTGGAAGGTGATGGTCAGGGATGTACCAGTCCTCCTTGGCTGTAAGGGCTGAGGGACAGGGCTTTCCCGCCACCCACAAGCACATCTTCATCCCCGCCCAGAGCTTCCCGGGAGTCTTGGGGAAGAGTATCCCTCTCATGCCTGCAGGGTTGGGAAGGATGGGCCTTGCTGAAGGGCTAATGGCTGCAGGAGTAAATGGGTAAGAGAGGTGTCTGCCAGGCAAAGGGAAGGGCTATGGCTAACCTGGGCCAGCAGATGACCTCACAGGTGCCCTGAGGCATGGCATTCCAGGGCGGGCCTCGGAATTGCTGAGCAGAGGATGTGGGGAGAAGGGTCGCAGTCTGCTGGGCAAGGAAGGGAGGTTCATACCACAGTGGTAGCCCTACTTCTCTACACTGAACTCACCTGCCGCTGGGCAGAGAAACCACTTTTATAGGGCTCAGGGAGGGTCCTCCTGGCCTGGCTGTTCAGCTGAGGGCTACCCACTGGCCCACTGAAGGTACAGGAATGGTTCCCAGGGAGGGCTCTGACCAGGGGCCAGAACTGTGCCCCCAGCTCTCCTGGCCTTGCAGAGACCCCACAGAATGCACAGGCCGGCTAGAGTGCCACAGGCAGGGGGCGTGCTGGGCACATCCCCTTTTAGCCCTGTGACTTCCACAGTGGGCCAGGAGGGGTGGGCCAAAGGCACACAGGTGAGAAGTCCTTGGAGCTGTGCAAAGGCCAGGGAGGGAAGCCCTGCCCTGCAAGGCTGGAGCCTTGCAAGGAGCTCCCTGGGGCATCAGCCAGCGCTGCATGGCTACGGGGACATGCATGGAGGAGGACGCCTCCCCACACTGGAGCCTGCAACCTCTTGCAGGCATCTTTCGGTTTACCCTCCCGGCCTGTCCACATGAGAAATAGAACCTCCATTTCTTTTTGACTGCACAGCGCCCAAGGCCACAGGACCACAAGTTGAGTTAAAATGAGGAGGACAATCCCAGCGGATGCTCTAGTCAGTGGGATGGTGGTTTTCTGATAGTTTTAGAGCTACAGGCACTGTTCTGGAAATAGACTCTGATGCTGAAGCCCAAGACATGAAACAGATAAAGATAGAGCTGCTGTGTTTAAGGAGAGGAAGCTCCAGGACCCGTCTCCACCTAGCTTCCCTCAGCTGCCCTAGGCGGCCTCCTGCCTGGACCCTGGGACCCATACGTGAATTCACCTTTCATGTTTTTCCTACTGGTAAAAACTGAGAGAGGTTTGGCTGGCAGGAAGAGCAGAAGCTATTTGCAGAGTCGCTGACTTGTAAGGCTCCATTTCGCTCCCCAACTCAGAGGCCGACAAAGACAGATGAGGCCAATGGGGGGGTGGGGATTTGCACCACTTTACAAGATCCTCCTTCTGCCCTGTGGGTGGATTAGCACGTGGTGGGCCTGGAGTAGCTGCTGACCACATCTGGCCCCAACTCCAAAGTGGTCTGGGCATCCAGATCCGGACTCTGGAACCCGATCTAGCCTCCTACCACCCTGGGAGCGAGGGAGGAAGCAAACGGGCTCCCTCTAACCCAGATGGGTACAGACCCCAGAAAAGACCCTTGAAAAAGGACCAGTCCACAATGTAGTTTCAGAGAACTTTGCAGAACCACTTGGAACCCATCCCAGACCCCGGCATTGGCAAGACGTCCTGGGATCCTCTGGCCCTCAGGTCCCACTGCATCAGAGGCAAAATGTAAGGGTGGGGCTTCCTATGCAAAGAGGGAAGCCCCCTGCATTAGCCATTATAGATGGCCATCTACCCTTCACTCATGTATCCCCTGCTTCAGAAAGCTCATTACTGGATCCTGATCCACTGCTTAACAGTGGTAGATACTAGAAGGTTCTTTTTCCCACCGAAGAATGTGCCTCCTTTAATGCCCTGAACAAGCTGGCCCATCTCCTTTCCAGTCCCCTGCTTCCTGCAGGCACCCCAGGCCTGTAAGGACCCGAAAGTCCTGGGTGCCCTGGAAATGATGAGGCTGTCCCAGGATTCAGGTGTGGCAAAACACAGAGAGACAGGTCCCCAGACACCCCAGCCAGGAGCCGAGGCAAACCCCGTGGTGCCAGGCTGCGCCTTCTGCAGCCATCAGCACAGAATTTCCTTGGGGGTTCCCTCTCCACAGGCCCGGCTGAGGTGGGGCATGCCCACTAGGGAGGCTAAAGCGCTAAGTTTGGGTTGAAGAAATGGCAGCAGGTATAAAGAGGGGCACAAATACATCCAGGTACCACCCCCTAGAAAGGAAAAGGGTGGCACGGAGAAGGGCGGCAGATGGAGAAGGGGGGAGGGAGAGGAGGTACACGGGGAGGAGGGAGGTGCGGCGGCCCCCTTGGCCTCACACCCACTGCAGGAGGGCCCTGGCCTGCCCCACTCAGCCTTGGCCCTGCCGCTGAAATTCCAGCTCTGTGCGCAGCCCAGCTGGCTCGCCGCCAGTCATGTGCCAGCTCCAGGCTGGGCAGCGGGAAGTGGGGCACGCGGCGGGCATATGGACAAGAAGCCAGGAAATGCAGAGCAAAGGGCTAGATGTCCACTTGGCCCAGGGAAGCAAATGCTGCCAGGACTAGCCCGGCTCTGCCCTCTTCACAGCATGGAGGCCACAGCCCCTGGCCTTCTAGGGAGTGCCTGCAGGTGAGGCTTGGTGCCGGGCACCATGGGACCAGGAAAATCACATGGTCTGGCTGGCTCGAGCCCATCTACCCAGACAACAGAGCAAGTCATTGGCCTTACTGGCTGACCACAGGGGTTTGTAAAAAGGCAGGATATGTAGTGTTCAGAGTGTGGGCTCTAGGGCCAGCTGCCTCGCCCTGCATGTCAGCTGGGTGACCTCAGTTAGATTATGCATCTCCCTGAGCTCCATTTTCTTTATATATAAAGTGGGGATGCCAGCGCCTGCTTCATACCTGCAACCTTCATACGTGCAAAGGCTCAGAAAGCTGGTGCACAGGGAGTGCTGAGCACAGGGCCTGGCACGTGCCACCTGACCAGCACTGGCAAATTTAACGCCGAGCCAGTGTGCTGGGTCTCATCGATACCAAAGGGCCCATACTGGCCCCAGCCTGGGTGTCCCTCCCTTTGCTCATGTCCCGCTGGTGGAAATACCCTCAGAACTCCCTTCCCACAAGCTGTTTCCCATGTGCACTGAGAAGCAGGAGGGGTGGGTCAAGTGGTATAATCATCTGCTTCCCCCCGCTGACCCCTCATCCCTTGGAGGTCCTTGGCACAAGGGTCCATCCTTAAGGCTCATTTAGGGCAAAGTCATCTTCTGAGGACAAGGACACATCAAACTGTTGGATTTTTGTTAAAAAATCAGGAGAGGAAAGCCCCTAGGAAGGCAAAGAGAAAGTCAGCACAGAGGGGGCATGAGGACCCTGGCTGACTGCCACTCAGGTGCTGTGTGACCTTAGACAAGTTTCTCAACTCTCTGGGTCTCAGTTCCCTTAACTGTGAAATGGGACCAGAATCCGTCACAAACAAACGATTCAAAACTGTGCATAAGCCACGGCGAGGGGGGTCAAGAGGGAGATTAGACCAGAACACAGTCAGGGTTCTCATGCTTCGGCCCCATCCCCCCAACCTCCTCATCTCCTCATCCCCTCCGCCTCCCCATGCGTGAGGTTTCCTGCCCCCTCGCAGCCTAGCTGTCTCTGCACCTCCTGCCTACCCAGAGCTTAGAATGCGGGCTTACATGCCACCTTCTCCATGAAGCCCCCTGGCTGAGCACAGTATCTGGAGGTGCCTTTGCTGAATGCCCAGGTACCTAGGTCCTTGTTCCCTCAAAGCTCGTCTTAGAGACATTTCTGGTTTTTGCGTGTTGGTTTTGTTCTCAGAACTCCCCACCCAAAATCAAATTGATTTCCTTGAGGCTGGGAACCAGGTCCTCAGACTTCCCCTGGGGAACTCCCAGTTCTGACTTCACAGGGTGGTAGGGGATCAAAACACTCACACATAGAAAGCATTCTGGACCAGCCTGGTGCACAGTAAATGCCATAGAAGCATTTGCCCTTGTGATTATTATAATCTAGCCACCCCCGCCCCCCATGGCCCAGAGCAAGCTGCGAGGGGCTGGGGAGGAAATGAGTGAAGCAGAAACGGGGAGAGAAGGGCTTCCCTCCTGCCCCATCCACCCTCCCACTCCCTTCAACCTGCTTCTCCTTTGTGCTCAGACCACAGAATCCACCCCCTGGCCCTGTGAGCCATCTCTGGCTGCCATGCCCTTGCCCTGTGCCCCCCTGGGTCCCCAAAGGCCATTTCATCACGCCTCAGATCCCTGCCCCACCCCCGCCCAACATGTGCAGAGCCCATGGCCTCCTGCCAAGGCCTGGGGCTGCCAGCGGAGGCAAAGGGACAGAAATCTCACCGCTCGGTAGGTTTTCTTCTGCCCAGCGTGCTTGGGGGCTTTGCCTGGCTCCGCTGAGCTCTCCACATGCATCGAGTAGATGATGTCAAAGAAATCTTCCACCACAGCGACCCGCTTCAGAGAGATGCCCTCCGGCTCCGACAGGCCATCTGCCCCCTGTGACAGGGTGGAAAGCTGTGTTAGTGTCAGGGATGATGGCGGGGTGAGAGCTGGGCCCTGAGGCCGAGAGGTGGGTTGGGGCAGGACAGCGCTTTTCCTTGACTCCAGCAAGGCCTCTGATGGTAGATAGATCGGGAGAAGGGCTGAGGGGGAAGGAGCCCGCTGAGAGGGCCCCAGGGAGGGGGTACCAGAGTCAGGGTGGCTGATGCTACTAAATCTACTGGAAACAATGGGCAGGGAACGACAACAACAAAAATACAAATTGAAAAACCAAGAGGCTCCATGTTCACAATTTCAGACAGATTGTGCCAGACTCAGGCGGGAGCTCTCGAATCACACGCTGTGCCAAGACCATCCTGGAAGTCTCTGGGGAGGGGCGAGTGCTAAATAGATGCAGCCCCATCAGGAGCTCACCAATTAGCAGTAACCTTTCACTGTGGTCCAGGGCTGGGGTCCCAGGGGACCGGCTTGGATCACCTGGGTGACTCCTGCCTCCACCCTGGCCTTTCAGAAAAGCTTTTCACCACCGCGTGCCCTCCCCACTCCAGCAGCTGAGCGCCAGCAACAGCACCCGGGCTCTTTGTGTGTGATGTAGAGAATAACAGACATAAGGCCACGTGAAGGTGTCAGGGCCGCGTGAGCGGGATGGCCGGCCCCCCCACCCAACCCGTCCTGTCAAGTTGGCATGAGTGCTGTCAGCTGGCCCCAACAAGGTGTGCCAGGACTGAGACTGGGTCCTTCAGCAGAAGCTGCTAGGCCAGCACCTGCCCTCCCTTGCTGGCAGGGCTGGCACGGAGAAGGGGGAGACTGCAGGGCGTGAGGATGGGGGATGTGAGGATGGGGCAGGGTCCTTAAGGGAACAGGCTGCTAAGTGAGTTCCTCATTCATAGGGCAAGGGCCACACACAGGCTCCGTACCCCTGACTCTCAGCTACCATCTCCCTAAGACAAGACTTGGAGGGCTCAGCGGTGGGGCCGGGGGCGGGGGCGGTGCTTCAAAGATGAAGAGGAAGCTAGGAGCGGAATTTAAGAAAAAGACTTTCTCTGAAAGTTTCTGAAATACAAATTTTCAAGATAATTCTTCTCCTAAGGATTCTAGTCAAGAACTGTCAGTTCTGGGAGGGTGTAGGCTTCACCTGTCAGCTCACAGCTGTCTCCCCGGCACCTAGAACAATGCCTGACACATAGCAGACTCAATATACAACTATGGGATGACTGACCAGTTATAAATGGCAGCCAGGCAGTATAGTTTAGACACACTCTTCCCTACTTTGAATAAGGCCCCATAATTTAAGTGGTTGTGTGACCTGAGCAGTTTGCCTCTGTGAGCCCAGCTGCTGGTTTTATCTGGAAAATGGGGATAACAGATGCGCCTTTCCTGTGAGTTACGAAGAGGAATGAATGAGACACGTGTGTAGCACTTAGCACCAATCCAGCCCATAGGAGCTGTTGGACAAACATTGTCATTAAGAAGTGCTATGCCATTTGCCAAGTTTCTCCTCGCTATGACAGGGCCGAACGTCACAAGCCTGGGAGATTGTTAGGGTCAGAGCCTGCCTGCGGTATGGCGGCTGCTCAGTGGCGCAGGGGGCTTTGTACCTCGGTCTTTGTAGTCTGAGGAGAATAGAGACTGTGCAGAATGGGATCCTTGCTCACAACACATTCTGGCCACAGACAGGGTTTACTTTTATCCAGCAACTTTCCCAACACGCCCTGATGGACGAACAGGGTTGTCTCTTTGCCAGTGACCGACTTGAAAGCAAATGGGGGAGAAGGGCATCTGGGGTATAGGGTACCCAAGCCTAGAGCTAGTGGCAGTGTTTGTGAGTGGTGACCATGGGTGGTGACCTCACTGGCCCTGTACAGGCCATCTTGCCAATGGCTCCCTTCCTGATGGGGATCCATTTCAATGGGGACTTCTCAGATAGCAGCTCCTACGGGGGTGGGGGGTGGGGTGTGTGTGTGTGTGTGTGTGTGTGTGTGTGTGTGTGTGTGTGTCTGCCTGCCTTATCGTGAGACTGTGGGCAACGTCTTCAGCCTCCCTGAGCTTCGCTTACGAGATGAGCTGTAAAATTCCCTGACTCTTCTGCTCGTAAACTCTCTCAGGAGTTACTGTTCCCTCTTTCTTGGGGGTATCTGAAGGCCCCCTCTGAAGTGCCAGACTATCTGAAAACAGGGCTTATTGGCGTCTAACTCATTAATTAGCTGACTTCTAACTACCCAGCATTTGGGGGTTATGCAAATATTGGTGTGACAGAGTTGGATGGGACAAATATCATGAAAGGTCAGTACTACATACTTCTAAGCAAAGGTTCATATCAGGAAAAACAAACAAAAGAACCTTAAGAATGAAAATATAACTGGATTTCCATTTCTTGATCTGGTAGTGGTTATATAGGTGTGTTCAGTTTATAAAAAGCCATTAATCTGAACACTTATAATCTGTGTACTTTTCTGTGTGTCTGTTAAAATTTGATTTTAAAAATGTATATTAAAAACGTAGCCCTGGCTGGCGTGGCTCAGTGGATTGAATGCTGGACTATGAATCAAAAGGTTGCTGGTTCGATCCCTTGTCAGGGCACATGCCTGAGTTGTGGGCCAGGTCCCCAGTTGGGGGCATGCAAGAGGCAATTGATCTATGTTTCTCTCTCCCTCTTTCTCCTTCCCTTCCCCCTCTCTAGAAGTAAATAAATAAAATCTTAAAAAAAAAAAAAGTATAGCGTGTAGTTCCACAACATTCTAATAATCTGAATCCAGAGTCATAACGATGCATTTAGCTGCTTAAAAGTTAATAGCCCTCCCTGCTCATAAAATTGTTTTAGGCCACAGATACTTCTGGAAAAGGGAGATAAAATTTGGTGGAAAGGAATAGAGAAAGAAAATCTGATGAAACATAGTATCTTAGATAGGAGAAATGGAAAGTGCTCCCTAATCAGCTTGATGACCTTGGGTAGGTCACTTCTCAGCCTCTTGAAACTCAGTTTCCTCTCCTATGAAATGGGCCTAAGAAGTCCTAGTTGGACGTTCCAAAGATCATGGAAGAATGTACATCAGACACATATAAGCTTGTGAATGTCTATCTTTTCCCTTTAGACCCATCGAGTTTGAACAATTTATGTTTAGGAATCTGCTCTTATCTCTGGTCCCCCATTCAGGCTATAGAACCCCATTCAGGTATGTCCCCCAGGGGAATACCCACCACAGAAAAAGATGCATAATCATATGTAAATTACATGCTAAGGCTGTCACACAAACTAGGGATAAGTTTTCCTAGAGTCAAGGTGTAACTGACCAACCTGGATTAATGAGTGAAACACTGCCCAGTGCCTGTCCTGTGTCTGTCCCAGCTTCCCACCTCCATTCTTAGGCAGACACTGGTAACCAACAGCTTTGACCTGGTCCAATGTGACCATAAAGCTGTCCCAGAGAAACACTTCAGGGGAACATTTTTAGTAGCCTCCTGTTTAAAAATTGATCATAATATGTCCCCTGATGTTCAAACCTGGGTCCTGTGATCGGTCTGTCTCAACTGCAGAGATGTACATAGGAAAGGAGAGGGCCTGTAGCAACCAGAATTCAACCCCACACAAGGTATGCAGAGCCACACCTTGAACTGTCCTCTGCTGAGCTGTGGCCACCTGGACACCATGCGTGCTGTACCCTAAGGGAAGAACACCAGGATATCTGTGTGGCCTTCAAGGAGAACCCTGGCAGGAGAACAAAGAAGTCCCATGGCAGTCACATGCCACAGACGTCTTTGCCATGCCCTGTATCCATAGAGGTAATAACCTTCGTGCTAAATGCTGAAGGAGAGGCATGCCTTCCCGAGCTGAGAATCCAGACACAGCTCTCCAAGGCAAGAGCTGCTAATTAAGGGAGCAGAAAGCACCTTCCCCATAGCCTTGGGATGTCCCTGCCAACCACTTCTGCTTTGTACCCAAATGAGCTTAATCTAATCCATTGCCTTCAGCATGCTGGGCCTTGGACTGACAAAGGAAGCTCACTTCACTTACAGGCTGGATAAAGAGGGGGCCTGGAGCCTCCTGACGATTCCCAGCCTCCTGGGAACACCAACCAGGAGTGATGGCATGGAACCCTGCAGTGCCCCAAGGGAAAAGCCACAAAAAAACACACGGTCAGTTGCGAAGGACAGACCTCTGGAGCCTTCGTAAATGGGGAAGAATATCACCATGGTAACATACTCCATCCTTTGGAACCAGCTAACTCCAAACAGCCAGCCATACCCAGGCCAACAAAACTCAAACATGGCAATTGTTCTTAAAAATTTATGGAGCTACTGACTTTCTTGGACAACATCATCTTTCTTAAACCCAGCCCATTTGGGTTCTAAACTAAAGGCCAGGTTGCAAGGCATTGAAGAAATCACCAAATATCTACTTAAATATTGCTGATATGTCAGAGTATTTATAACAGTCCTCAAAGTGAGGCCCTTAGGTCACCAGCATCAGCATCATTTGGGAACTTGTTAGAAATGCAAATTCTCAGGCCCCAACCAAGAGCTATCAAATATTGGGGTTTTAAAAGGCATCAAAGAATTCTGATGCACAGAAGATTTTTGAGAACTGATGACTGAAATGTCCATTATTGAGACAGGAAGGTAACTACTGGGAAACTGGCATTGACTCAAATACAGACATGCTCTGTGCTTCTAGGCCTAACATATTAATATTTTCTTCTCCAATGAATGTCAATTTTCCTAATGGCGAGAACAAAGGAATCTTATTGCATAACATTAGTAGATACTCAGAATACCTGCCCAGAAACTTAATGTAGATTATGAATAGAAAGGGCAGGAGTGCCCAGCATCCTGGCATCAGATTTTCAAGTCCTCCCTGGCACAGTTAATTAATACTTAAGCAGGTCATCCCTTGACAGATCTTTTCTGGCTTCCTCACTTTCCTCAAATGATCTGAATGCTCAGCACAAGGAAGGCTGCTACATCCAGGGCTGCAGACCTACAAGGGAGACAGCATGTCT